TTTTTATAGCCCTTTGGGCATAGTTCCAAATCGCTCTCCAAAATGGTTGGATCATTTCACAACTCCACCAACAATCATTAGTGTTCCAAATTTTCCACGTCTTCTCCAACATTTATCATTTTCCTGTTTTGTCTTGTTGGCCATTCTGATAGGTGTGATGTGGTACCTCAGAGTTGTTTTGATTTGCATTTCTGTAATCAATAGTGATTTAGAGCATTTTTTCATATGAATATAGATGACTTTAATTTCTTCATCTGAGAACTGTCTGCTCATATCCTTTGACCATTTATCAACTGAGGAATGACTTGTATTCTTACAAATTTGACTTAATTCTCTATATATTTCAGAAATGAGGTCTTTATCAAAAACATTGGTTGTAAAAAATCTTTCCCAGTTTTCTGCTTCCCTCTTAATCTTGGTTGCACTGGCTTTGTTTGTGCAAAAACTTTTCAATTTAATGTAATCAAAGTTATCCATTTTGCTTTTTGTAATGTTCTCTATCTCCTGTTTGCTCATAAATTCTTCTGTTCTCTATAAATCTGATAGGTAAACTATTCCTTGCTCTCCCAGTTTGCTTACAGTATCAGCCTTTATATCTAAATCATGAACCTATTTCGACTTTATTTTGGTGTATGGTGGTGAGATTTTGATCCATGCCTAGTTTCTGCCATACTCTTTTTCAGTTTTTCCAGCAGTTTTTATCAAATAGTGAGTTCTTATCGCAGAAGCTGGTGTTTTGGGGTTTATCAAATAGTAGATTATTATAGTCATTGACTATGTGTCTTGCATGCTTAACCTATTCCACTGATTCACCATTCTATTTCTTAGCCAGTACCAAATAGTTTTCATGATTAATACAATTTAAGATCTGGAACTGCTCGGCCACCTTCCCTTGCATTTCTTTTCATTAGTTCCCTTGATATTCTGGACTTTTTGTATTCCAAATGAACCTTGTCATTTTTTCTAGCTCTATGAAGTAATTATTTGGTATTTTGATTGGTATGTCACTGAATAAGTAAATTAGTTTAGGTAGAATTGTCATTTTTATTATATTAGCTTGACCTACCCATCAGCAACTGATGTTTTTCCAATTATTTAGATCTGACTTTATAGCAGAATTCAACAATATGTTGTTTACAAGAAGCACACTTGAAACATAAAGACTCACAGAGTTAGAATGAATGGGTAAAGTAAAACCTATTACACCTCAGTTGAACTAAAAATAGTAGAGTTAGCAATCATTGTTTTGGACAGACAACAACAAAAATAGACTTAATTTTTTTTGGGGGGGGTAAGATAGTTGGGGTTAAGTGACTTGCCCAGTCACACAGCTAGTGAGTGTTATGTGTCTGATGCTGAATTTTTTTGGGGGGGGGGGTGAGGCAATTGGGATTAAGTGACTTGCCCAGGGTCACACAGCTAGTAAGTGTCAAGTGTTTGGTCTGATGTCAGATTTGAACTCAGGGCTTCCTGACTCCAGGGCAGGTGCTCTATCCGCTGCATCACTTAGCTGCCCCCTGAACTTAATTAACAGGGAAAAGTTCATTTTGCTAAAAGATATCATGATGAATTAATTTTAATACTTGGGGCAGCTAGGTGGCACAGTGGATAGAGCTCTGGCCTTAGAGTCAGGAGGACCTGAATTCAAATCCAGCCTCAGACACTTGACACTTACTAGCTGTGTGACCCTGGGCAAGTCACTTAACCCTGATCACCTTACCAAAAAGCAACATAAACAAATAAATAATTCAATACTTAACATAAGTGCATCAAATGACAGCATCTAAATACATAAAGGAAGTGCTAAATGAGTTATAGGCAGTAAAACTATAATAGGAGGGTCTCAATTGACCCTTCTTAGAGCATATAATATATACAAATATAACAAAGTCCAAAAAAAAAGTTAAAGACCTAAAATAGAGTTTTAGGAAACTTAGGTATGATAGATGTCTAGAGATTATTAAATGAGCACCTATACAAAAATTGATCATGTGTTAGTGCATAAACCTCACAAACAAATGTAGTAAAGCATTAATATCAAACACATGCTTCACTAAACACAAGAAGACATTATCAGTATCATATAATATTAATATATTACTTATATCAATATAATAATTACTTATATTACTATATTCAAGTTATATTAATGTAAGTAATATATAGTATATAATACAATTCAGTAAAACTTATATTAAATAATGGTCCATTGGAGAAAGGATTGAAAATTAACTGGGAATTAAATAAATTGATTCTAAAATATGGAAGAATCAAAGAACCAATCATAGAAACCTTAGATAATTTCATTAAAGATAATATGAGACACCATAAAAAATTTTTTTGGATGCAGCCAAAGCAGTCCTTGGGGGAAAATTAATATCTTTTCAAAACTTTCCTCAACAGGAGGGGGAAAAAAACCACATCAATGATTTGGGTGTGCAACTAAAAAAATCTAGAAAACCAAGAAATTTTAAACCCCCAATTAAACACCAAAATAGAAACCTTGGAAATCATAGGATAGATTAACACAACTGAAAGCAAAAATAAAAAAGGAAAAAATAATAAATAAAAGTAGGAGCTATTTTTCTTTTCGAAACAAAGAAAACATCAAAATAGATAAAACATTTGGGAATTGGATTGAAAAGGAGGAACACCCAATTACCAGTATCAAAAAAAAAAGAAGTTCTCAACAAATGAAGAAATAAAATATATTATTAGAAAATATTTTGCCCAACTAGATGCCAATAAAATAATAAATAAAATAGATGACTATTTACAAAAATACAAAATATCTATATTATCAGAAGTAGAGAATCTAATCAAGGCAAACTAAGAAAAGAAATTGCACAAGCCATAAATTAATTTAAAAAGGAAAAAGCTTTGAGCCATATGGATTCATGAGAAAATTCTATCAAATATTCAAAGAAAAAATCAATTCCAATATTACACAATGTTTGCACATTTGATTACATAAAATTATAAAGCTTTTTACATAAATAAAACTAACATAGCTAAATTTAAAATCCAAGTGATTGGGGGGAAAGTTTTTTTTTCTGTTAAAACTTCAAGATACATAAGGAACTGATTCAAATTTATAAAAGCAAGTCATTTCCCAATTGATAAATCATTGAAAAAATGCTCTAAATAACTAATAGACACATTAAAATTAAATCAACTCTGAGTTGATCACATCTATCAGATTGGCAACAGTGATGAAAAAGGAAAATGACATTTTGGAGAGGTTGTGGGAAAGCAGATACACTGATGCCTTGTAAGAGGGGGTGTCAATTGGTCCAGCCATTTTAAAAAACAACTAAGCATTATGCCCTCATTGTCACTAAATGCATTATACCTCCTTTGTCACTAAAAGCATTGTGCCCCCATTGTCATTAAATGATGCATGCCATTTGAATTAGCAGTAACATTTCTTGGGTCAAAGAGATCAAAGGAAGAGGAAATGTACAAAAATATTTATAGCAGCTCTTCCGTAGTAAAAAAAAAAAAAAAGAAATATAAAGAAAAGAAAAGAAACTGGAAATAAGGAGCTACCTATTAGTTGAGGTTCCTCGGATTCCTTCAAGTACCAGCAAAAATACTTCCTTTTACAGGAACCCTTTTCCCAATCCCCCTTAATTCTGGTGCCTCCTTTCTGTTGATTATTTCCAATTTATCCTCTACGTAACTTGTTTTTGTCTTGTTATTTTCATGTTATCTTCCCCTATTAGACTGGGAGGTCTTCAAGAGCAGAAACTGTCTTTTACCTTTCTTTGTATTCTTAGCACTTAGCATAGTACTTTTCACATAGTGACTTTTCACATATTGACTGAATGACTGGAATGGAATATTATTTTCATAGTAAGAAATTATAATAGGGGACGGTTTTAGAGAAACCTAGAAAGAATTGCATGAATTGATGTGAAGTGAGCAAAACCAGGAGTAAAATTTATATAACAACAGCAACACTGTAATGATTTTTAAAAAACCTTTTAAATATTTAAGAACGCTAGGGGCAGCTAGGTGGTGCAGTGGATAGAGCTCTAGCCTTGGAGTCAGGAGGACCTGAGTTCAAATCTGGCCTCAGACACTTGACACTTACTAGCTGTGTGACCCTGGGCAAGTCACTTAACCCCAATTGCCTCACCAAAAAGAAAAAAGAAAAAAAAGATTTAAGAACTCTAATCAAAATTACTAACCAACCATAACTCTAGAGGACTGATAAAAAAGCATGCTTTTTACCTCCTGTATTAGCTGGCCTCAAGATGCAGAAATAGACATATTTTTTAACATGGCCAATATAGAAATTTTTTATTTTTGTCTACACATGTTTGTCACAAGATTTTACTTTTTTTAAATTGGGGATGTGGGGTAACATGTGAGGAACAGAAATAAATGCATGCTAATTGAAAAAAAATCAAGTAAAATTAAAATAAATCAGTGCATCCTAGTCTTATGGAAGTTGCCTTGCCCTATTATTATTAGGTGTGTCATAGTGAGATATTTGTTCTGGACTTGAGGTCAGAAAGCATTGGATTTGAGTTCTGACTCCAAAACTTACTAGCAGAGTTAACCTTAATATAGTCACTTGACATCTCTAAGCCTTACTTCCTCTTCTGTAAAGTGGGAATAATTATAACAGTTACACCAAAGGGTTGTGAGAAGCAGGTGAGATAGTTTACATAAATTGTTTTACAAACTTTAAAGCCTATAAAATGAGTTATTAGTATTATAATTGTATTTTACCTTTGCAGTCCAAAACTACTATATCCCATTTTTCTAATTACAGTGAGTTAATTCGTTTTGAGAATTTCATAATCACCCTTGAGATAATTCTAGACATACAGAGCTATTATAAAACTGGCATCAGGATTCTCTATTTCAAACTTATTTACATATTACTGTCCTTGATTACATTCCCTTAACCTATCCCAGGGCCTCTTATGGAACTAACAGTTATTAGTCTGCTAATGGTCTGAATTACTTTAATTTGTTTTTGACTATAGGAAGCCTGCCTCGAACCAGAAGTGTTCCAGAGTGTGTCTACAATCCGAACTTAGTTGAAAACCACCTCTCTCTAGGGTGTTCCTCTGTTACCAAAACATATGACATTTTAAAGGTGAGGACTTTACAGGACAAAACTCAGTGTGGGGCTTATGGGCTTTCTTAGATTCCCCCCCCCCCCATTCTGCTTTCCTAGGTACAACAAGTTCATAGCTGAATTATGGGAAAATTAATTTTGTGTGGGCAATGGGAAAAACTGAAAGCTGCAAGTAGTACATGCAGCCTTGTACAATGAATAGAATCTGTGTTGACAGTCTTTGTCTAGGAAGGTACTCTTCTCCCTTTCAGATCTTTTGGTCTTTCATTTATTTATTGCTTATTTAATAATCCTAAACAAAATCTGATGCATGCTTTAAAGAAAAATTTTTTGTGTCTTTTCTGTTCAGGCAGGCACAACAGCTACTTATGAGAATCACTTGGAAAGAGGAAGAACACGATATAATTCACAAAAGTCAATGGAAGAAAGATCTCAAAGGCAGCCTCTGAAGAGACTAGAGATTTCTCCTGGAAGTAGTCCTGAGAGAGTTAATTATGCACATAGTGACTACTATTATATCCAGAAAAACCAGGCAGGACACAATTTGAAGCTTCATGAGAGTAGGAGGTCCACCGTAATGCCACCAAGATATGCTCGTTCAGAAATTGTTGAATTCAACCGTCACGGTACCATGAGTAGGCACCGTCATTATGATACTTACCATAGGCAATATCAGTATGGATCTGTTAGTGACACAGTTTTTGATAGCTTCCCTGCCAGTCCAGCAGTACTTACATACCCCAGGCCAAGAAACAGCCGAAGTATGGGGAACCTCTTGGAGAAAGAGAACTACCTGACTTCAGGGCTTGCTTCAGGACAAGTCAGAACACTGGTGTCTCTACAACAAGGCCGCCAGAATAAGCAATCTGTTCGCTCTACTTGGCATCAGAATTCTTTCCATAACACTCACACTCTGAGAGATGTTCTGCCCAGTGTCAGTGCAGGAACCAGTGGGAAACAAACACAAATGACAATTGGCCAGGCAGCAACAGCAGGAGGTGGAAATTTACTAACTGAAAGAGCTGCTTTCGGCAGTTCCCAGGTTGGGTAAGTCTGCCTCTTGAATCTGTCATTTATGATTAGTACTAGCACATTCTGTTCCTGAACCTATTGACATGTGAGCTGGCATTTCTCAGTCTAGAAAGAAAGCCTTCCAGAGATAAGTGATAAAATAATGCACATTCAGTCATTTGCCTAACTGGAAAGTTAGTTTATTGTGTTACCTTGGGAAAAAAGCCAAGCTACCCTTTCATGTTTCTGCTTTTCAAGCTACTGGAGCTTGAGCATTTTATGTGACATTTAGGGAATTTTGTCCAAATTAAATGTTGACTGAAGCAGTATGTATCACTGCAGGATGAAGATCAGGTCTGAGAGGAAGATAAGTTGTAAAAATAAATGAAAAGGTGAATTTCATAGTAGACCATGATATGCATTATTATATAATTTTTTTTGCCATTATTTTTGGAAGAAAAGAAAGAAGCCTGTCTTCTTAATGTAGACAAATTTAGAGTGAGGGATCTTGAATAATATTGGGAGCTGCTTATATAATAAAGAAATTGAAAATTAAGGGATAGTAAATAATTTCTATTGGTCTATTTATTTTTGAATGACTGATACATAATTGATCCTAGAATCAGCTGCTAGTGAATCTTCTTTGTTACTCCTTACCAATCATGTTTTTACTGTTTTTAGGTTCATTTAGATTTGGAAACTAGCTATTTCTGAGTTTAACTAGTTTTTTTTTTAATTATCAATGAAGATAGTATGTCAATATTTTCTGCAATCAGTTCTATTTTTTATAGACAATATCATTTAATTTAACATGGGCTTGGCATGTAACAGGCACTTAATACATGTTAAATTACATGTTATATGGGAATACCAAGATTAAAAAACCTTTTAAAAAATTTTGACCTTTTAGGAATTTATAGTATGATTGGCTTCAGGTAGGGACAGGGATGAGCTATGTACCCAAATAACTATAATACAATTTAGAAAATTATTAAGTGCATAGGAGAACAAGTATTTATTTAGTACCTATTATGTGCCAGGCACTATGTTAAATGCTTTACAAATATATCTCATTTGATTTTTACAACAAAATTGGAATGTAGGTGCTATTATTATCCTCATTTTACAATTTGGGAAACTGAGCAGACAGATCTAGTGACTTGCCCAGGGTCACACAACTAGAAAGTTTCTGAGGCTGGATTGAACTTAGGTCTTCCTGTCTTTAGGCCTAGCACTTTATCCACTGTGTCATCTAGCTGCTGCAGAAGTCAGAGTAGCTTGAACATTCAAGGAGAGAGCAAACATTTATACCTGGGGAGATCAGAGAGGGCATCATAAAGGAAGTATTCCCTTAGCTAGTCCTTGTAAAAGGAGAGTTTTATTAGCTGGTCGTGGGATGTGAGGAAGGCAACATACAATAGGATGGTAGTTGTATTCATGTGTGAAAGCAGAAGAATGCAGGATGAGATTGTGGTAAAACAGCTAGTATTTCAGTTTGGCTGGAGCATAAAGCAGACAATGAGGATCATGAAATAGGACCATACAGAGAGATTGGGGCCAGGTTGAAAAGGGCCTTCAGTGCCAGGCTAAATACTATGTATTTATTTCATTGAGTATACAATAAGGCTTTTGAGGTGGGAAGTGATATGTTCAGTGAAGTCAGGGATTGAGGTTTAGAAGCTCTAGTGACTAGAATAATGGTAGTGCTCTCAACAAAAATAGAGATGTTTAGATGAGAGATAGGTTTGAAGAAAAAGACATTTAAGTTTTGTTTTTGGCATGTTTGAAATGCGTATGGGACATCCTGTTCAAATATCCAGTAGGCAATTGGACTGGAGCTCTGCAGAGAGACTAGGGCTAGGTTTACAGATCTAGGAGACATCTGCCTAAAAATTATGTCACAAATGAAAAACCCAGGAGACAGGGTTTCTGGGTAATTAATAATCAATTTATTAATTAGGCTAGCTAATAATAAGTTGGTGGTCAGTGATTTCTCTCAATAACCAGAGAAGTCCAATGGAGACACTGAATGCTTTAAATACTTTTGCAAATTTTTTTTTAAAATATGCAACGCTTCATGAGTTTATGTGTCATCCTTGCGAAGGGGCCATGCTAATCTTCTCTGTATCTTTCCAATTTTAGTATCTGTGCTGCCGAAGCAAGCACAGGAATGACATACTCTTAAAATTTGGTGTGAGATACTGATCTATAGCTAGTTTCGTCCGTACTATTTTCCACTTTTCCCAGCAGTTTTTGTCAAAAGTGAGTTCTTCTGTTTCTTAGCCAGGAAAAGATAGTTTTGATGATTATTGCTTTATTAGTACAGTTTGAGATCTGCTATAGCTAGGCCTCCTTCCTTCATATTTATTTTCATTAATTCCCTTGATATTCTTGACCTTTTGTTTTTCCAGATGAATTTTGTTATTTTTTTCTAGCTCTATAAAATAATTTATTGGTAGTTTGATTGATATGTCACTGAAAAAGTTAAATTACCTAATTTAGGTATTTTAATACCTAATTTAGGCAAATTAATTTAGGAAGAATTTTCATTTTTATTATTGGCTTGACCTACCCATCAACAATTGATATTTCTCCAGTTGTTTAGATCTGACTTCGTATCAAAAGTGTTTTGAAATTGTGTTCACGTTGTTCCTGGGTTTGTCTTGGCAGGTAGACTCCCAACTCCCAAGTATTTTATGTTATCTGCAGCTATTTTAAATGGAATTTCTCTTTCTATCTCTTGCTGCTAGACTTTGTTGGTCATGTAAAGAAATGCTGATGATCTATATGGGTTTATTTTATATCCTGCAACTTTACTTAAAGTTGTTAATTATTTCAACTTATAATTATTTCTATTATTATTTTTAGTTGATTCTCTAGGATTCTTTAAGTATACTATCATATCGTCTGCAAGGAGTGATAGTTTTATTTCTTCACTGGCTACTCTGATTCTTTCGATTTCTTTTTCTGCTCTTATTGCTATAGCTAACATTTCTAGTACAATATTGAATAATAGTGATGATAATGGACACCCTTGCTTCACCTCTGATTGTATTGGGATAGCTTCTAACTTGTCCCCATTCCAGATAATACTTGGTGATGGTTTTAGATACTGTTTATCATTTTAGGGAATGCTCTTTTTATTCCTGCGCTCTCTATTTTTAATAGGAATGGGTGCTGAATTTTTTCAAAAGTTTTTTACTTCATCTATTGAGATAACATGATTTCAGTAGGTTTTTTTTATTGATATGGTCAATTATGCTGATAGTTTTCCTATTATTGGGCCAGCCCTGCATTCCTGGTATAAATTCCACCTGGTCATAATATATAATCCTTGTGACAATTGCTGTAATCTCCTTGCTAGTATTTTATTTAAAAATTTTGCATCAATATTCATTAGAGAAATTGATGAAGAAAGTCCCCTGGTGGCTTGTTCAATGTCTTTTTCTAGGTTAGAGTTATTTAAGCATACTATTTCCTCTTCTGTTAACTTGGGCAATTTGTGTTTTTGTAAATATTCATTCATTTCACTTAGATTGTCAGATTTATTGGCATACAGTTTGGCAAAATAGATTCTAATTATTGCTTTAATTTTTCTTTATTGGTGGTGAATTTATCCTTTTTATTTTTTATACTGGTGATTTAATTTTCTTTTTTTCCTTTTTTAAATCATAAATCAATTTATCTGTTTTATTGATTTTTTTTCATACAACCAGTTTCTAGGGTTATTAGGTCAAAAATTTTCTTTTCACTTAGTTTTCACAACTCTCCTTTGATTTTCAGAATATCCAATTTGGTATTTAATTGGGGATTTTTAATTTGTTCTTTTAGTTTTTTTCATTACTTGCCCAATTCCTTGATCTGCTCTTTCTGTATTTTATTGATGAAAGAGTTTAGAGATGTAAGTCTTCCCCTAAGGACTTCTTTGGCTGCATCCTATACATTTTGGTATACTGTTTTATTGTTGTTATTCTCTTTAATGAAATTATTGATTGTTTCTATGATTTGTTTTTGACCCACTCATCCTAAAGGATTAGATTAGTTTCCAATTAATTTTTAGCCTATCTTTAAATGGGCCTTCATTAAATGCAATTTTTATTGCGCCATGATCTAAAAAGGATGCATTCAATGTTTCTGCCTTTTGATTTGATTCTGAGGTTTTTATGCCCTAGTATATGGACAATTTTGTGTAGGTTCTATGTACTGTTGAGAAAAGGTATATTCCTTTCTATTCCCATTCAATTTTCTCCAGAGGTCTATCATTTCTAACTTTTCTGAAATTCTATTTACCTCCTTAATTTCTTTGTTCTTTGTTGTGTGGTTAGATGTATCTAGTTCTGAGAGGAGAAAGTTGTGGTCCCCCTCTAGTATAGTTTTACTGTCTATTTTCTCTGTAACTCATTTAATTTTTTCTTTAAGAATGTGAATGCTATACAATTTGGTGCATATATGTTTAGTACTGATATTACTTCATTGTCTATGGTACCTTTCAGCAAGATCTAGTTTCTTTCCTTATCTCTTATCTATTAAATATGGGTCTGTTTTTCTTTCATCTGAGATCAATCTCACTGTTATGATTACCAACTGTGTATTTCTCTCCATCCTATTTTTCCCTTTTTATGCTTTTCTTTCTTTCCTTTCACTCTATCCCTCCTCGCCAGTGTTTTGTTTCTGACCACTGCCTCCTTCAATCTGCCCTTCCTTCATCAGCTTCCTTCTTGTCCCCCTCCTCTCCTACTTCCCAATAGGGTAATATAGATTTCTATCCCCAACTAAGTGTGTGTGTTATTCCTTCTTTGAGTCAAATCTGATGACGGCAATGTTCAAGCAATGCTCACTCTCTCTCCCACCTTTCCTTCTAACATAATAGGTCTTTCATGCCTCTTCATGTGATATAATTTACCCCATTCTGATTCTCACACCCATCTTCTCCCAGTGCAATTCTCTTTCTTATCCTTTAATTTTTTTTATATTGTCCCATCAAAGTCAACTTATATCCACACCCTCTGTCTACATATGCTCCTTTTAACTGCCCAAATAGTGATATAGTTCTTAAGAGTTACAAGTCTCATCTTCCCATGTGAGGATGCAAACACTTTAACCTTATTGAATCACTTACGTTTTCTCTTTCCTGTTTACCTTTTATGTTTCTTTTGAGTTTTACATTTAAAAATCAAATTGTCTGTTTAGCTCTGGTCTTTTCATTAAGAATGTTTGAAATTCCTTTATTTCATTAAATGTCAATTTTTCCCCTTGAAAGATTATGTTCAGTTTTGGTAGGTAGGTAATTCTTGGTTGTAATCCAAGCTCCCTTTGCCTTCTGGAATATCAAGTTCCAAGATTTCTGATACTTTAATGTAAAAGCTGGTAGATCATGTGTAATCCTGAAAGTTAAATAGTTTCTTTCTGGCTGCTTGCAGTATTTTCTCTTTGACCTGATAATTTTGGAATTTGGCTATAATATTCCTGTGAATTTTCATTTTGGGATCTCTTTCAGTAGGTGATTGGTGAGTTCCTTCAGTGTCTCTTTTACTCTCTAGTTATAGGATATCAGGGCAATTTTCCTTGATAATTTCTTGAAAGATGCTGTCCAGGCTCTTTTTTTTAATCATGACTTTCAGGTAGTCCAATAATGCTTAAATTATCTTTCCTGGATCTATTTTCCAGGTCAGTTGTTTTCCCAGTTAGGTATTTTAATTTTTCTTCTAATTTTTCATTGTTTTGATTTTGTTTGATTCTTTTTTATTAATTAGTTAATTTTTAGTTTTCAGCATTCACTTCCACAAGATTTTGAGTACCAAATTTTCTCCTCATTTCTCTCCCCTCCCCGACCCCAAGCCAGTGTGCATTCTGAATACCCCTTCCCCTAATCTGCCCTCCCTTCTATCATTCCCCTTCTCTTATTTCTTTCCCCTTCTATTTTCCTGTAGGGCAGGATAGATTTCTATACCCTTTGCCTGTATATCTTATTTCCCAGTTGCATGAAAAAAACAATTTTTAACATTCGTTTTTAAAACTTTGAGTTCCAAATTCTCTCCCTTTCTCCCTGCTTATCCACCCTCATTGAGATGGCAATTAATTCAATATATGTTATACATGTGTAGTCATGCAAAACACTTCCATAATAGTCATGTTGTAAAAGACTGTATTTCCCTCCATCCTATCCCACCCTCATTTATTCTATTTTCTCCTTTGACCCTGTCCCTCCTCAAAAGTGTTTGCTTCTGAGGCAGCTAGGTGGCACAGTGGAAAGAGCACCAGCCCTGAAGTCAGGAGGACCTGAGTTCAAATCCAGCCTCAGACCAAACACTTGACACTTACTAGCTGTGTGACCCTTGGCAAGTCACTTAACCCCAATTGCCTTACAAAAAAAAGAAAAAAAGTTTTAAAAAAAAGTGTTTGCTTCTGATTACTCCCTTCCCCAATTTGCCCTCCCTTCTATCATTCTCCCATCTCTTATCCACTTACCCTCTATTTTCCTGTAGGGTAAGATAGATTTCCATACCCAAATCAAGGTGAAATTCACTCATTCCCTTTCACCTTCCCCCCTCTTCCGTTCCACTGCAAAAGCCTTTTCTTGTCTGTTTTATGTGAGATAATTTACCCCATTCTACCTCTCCCTTTCTCCTTCTCCCAGTGCATTCTTCTCTTACCTCTTAATTTTATGTTTTAGATATCATCCCTTCATTTCAACTAACCCTGAGCCTTCTGTCTATATATATGTATATATATACATATATATGTGTGTGTGTGTGTGTGTGTGTGTGTGTGTGTGTGTGTGTGTGTATTCTCTCCAACTACCCTAATACTGAGAAAGGTCTCATGAGTTACAAATATCATTTTTCCATGTAGGAATGTAAACAGTTCAACTTTAATAAATCCCTTATGATTCCTGTTTCCTGTTTACCTTTTCATGCTTCTCTGGAGTCTTGTATTTGAAAGTTAAATTTTCTATTCAGCTCCAGTCTTTTCATCAAGAATGCTTGAAAGTTCTCTATTTCATTGAATGACCATTTTTTACCTTGAAGAATTATGCTCAGTTTTGCTAGGCAGGTGATTCTAGGTTGCAGTCCTAACTCCTTTGCCTTCCGGAATATCATACTCCATGCCCTGCAGTCCCTTAATGTAGAAGCTGCTAAATCTTGTGTTATCCCAATTATATTTCC